AAAAAAAAAAAAACTGAATAGTCTTCAGCGAGAGATGAAATGCATTTGGCAGACACAATGCTGTGTTTGTTCCTATAATTTTATTCCCTTCCCTTGTTTCATTGACCTGCCTGCAAGTCTCCTGCATCACCAAAACTGAAGATGCTTTACAAAATAATACACGAATCTCACTGGTTTACTTCTATCCATCCACCTACCCACCCATTCATTCATCCACTTATTGATCCATCCACACACACACACACACCCACCCACCCATTAATCCACTCATGCATCCATCCATCCTTCCTTCTGTCCCCTAGTTCAAGTCCCCCTCTGTGCAGGTACTAGGCCAGGTGTTGGCCTAAAACATGAACTGTGAGTTGAGGCAGAGGAGGACACCCCCTCACCTCTAAGGAAGCATGGGAGGAGCCCGAGAGCTTCCAAAGCTAAGGGAGCAGGAAGAGCTCACGGAGCTCATGGAACCGACCCTGAAATACGGCTGAGACTGTGGCCGGCAGCGCTACAGAGAAAGCTCCTCAGGCAAGAGCAAGGGGAGCCACTGAGCTCATCAGGTCACCTGGGGTGGAGGGGACTTCTGACCACAGAGGTCTCCTGGCACCGCCCGCGGGCTGAGCCCCTGATGGATGCACCTTGTACTGCAGCCAGTGCCGGTGCACGGTACACACCTGAGACACAAACAGATGAGCACTCGCCAGACATGAGGCCATGAGATATGACCAATGCCCAGGTGGCTGAGCCTTCATAGGTGCCTCTCGCCAGTGACCTACCTTATCATGATTTCTCCTGACCATGGGCCCCCTTCCTGTTTCTCTCTTTCATGGGGCTTTGTTTTGTTTTGGCGGCCAGCTGGTACAGGGGTTGAACTCTGGACCTTGGTGTTATCAGCACCACACTCTAACCATAAAGCTAACCGGCCAGCCTTCCTGTGGCTTTTAAAAGGTGCCTCTTCTCCTTAACTAAGTGGCAGGGTCTCCAACAACACAATCCCAGTTGCTGTGGTTCTCTTGTGCTGGGCAAAACAGAAGATCCTGAATTGAACCAGAACACAAACGTGAGGAAAGGAGGAATGTTAACACTCTCGCCAGCTCTTAGCCACGTGCATATCTGTGGAAGCAGCATCTGCTTATTGCTGGAGCACTCAGGGGCTTGGGGACCACGGAATTGGACGTGGAGAAGGCTTCTGAATTAAGACGAGTCTCGCAGACCAATTATCTCTGCTGCAGGCATCTGCGTGGTGGCCCTGCAGGGTACATGCTGGCTTGCATGACCTGTCTGGGACTGGGATTCTGGATCCCATGCCTAGGGGAACTCTTGTCTCAGAGAGGCTGGCCAGGGTTGGAAGGCCACTGGCCCAGGAGCTGGCAGATCTGGATGGGGCTCAGCTCTGCTGCTCAGCTCAGCCTCGGTGGGTCCTAAGGCTCCTCAGGCCCAGTAGAGGGGCTGGACACAAGTGTCTCCAAGCTCTCACCAAGCTTTCTGCTGCCCCGATTCCTTTTCCACCTTCTCTGCAGGGACAAGAGTGACAGCTCCATGGGGCCCCACCAGGAAATGCCTCTCCCTATCTCAGGCCTTCACGGAGCCATGTTTGGTCCCTTCTAGCATAGGAAATCCAGCACCTATACCATCAGGTGGGTCTGCTTGGAGTTTGGGCTCCCCAAGGTCTGCCCATGGAGCTTGTGAATGTAGATGGGTTTGTCAGTCTCAGATGGGAGGACCTGGGCGGAGTCTTGAGTCTGGCCCACAGGAGTGCCCTTCTCCACCAGAGACCAGATGCGGTGACGGCCCCGATCCATCTTCTCCATGTAGTCTGGGCCCACTGGCTATGTGTCATAGCAGTCCCCGGACGCTTCCTCCAAGCTTCCCCAACCCGGACGCTTCCTCCGAGCTTCCCCAGGTGGGTGGCTCTCTGGGCCCCTTCGATTTGGCTTGTGCCAGGTTCGTCTCCTGGGGTCTGCTGCCTGCTGCCAGTAGCTTGGTGGACCCTGAAGGGGAACAACTGTTTACTTATAACCTGCACTGGCTGCACACCCGCCAGGCCATGCACAGTGGAGTTGTCCAGACCCAGGTCCCTTGTCCATCATCCCTTTCCCTCTTTGTGATGTCTGTGGGACCACCCCGGCAGGGGGCCTCACCTAGCTTGGTGGACCCTGAAGGGGAACAACTGTTTACTTATAACCTGCACTGGCTGCACACCCACCAGGCCATGCACAGTGGAGAGTTGTCCAGACCCAGGTCCCTTGTCCATCATCCCTTTCCCTCTTTGTGATGTCTGTGGGACCACCCCGGCAGGGGACCTCACTGTCCCTCTCACACCGGCTGTGTCACAGCCAAGAAAACAATGAGGCCAATTTCAATCCATCAAGGGAAAAGCTCTGGTTTTAGGTGCCTTGCTTGAGGAACCCAACAATTGCACAAAATCCACAGCACATAGCTAGTCAATAAGGAAAGATCAGGTGAACCAAGGGTCCCACTTAACCTAGTGCCCCCACTAGGCAAATTTATGGGTCCTCAGGAGAGAGAAATTTCTTTGTCATCAAAACTCCTTGATGGTTTGATCTTCAGAATTAGGCTATTACTTAAGAAACAGTGCTGCTGAGGCTAAAAATAAAATGAGCCCCCCACCCCCCACCTCCTGCACAGAGTATGGTGGTCCAGGCCAGAGACTGTCAGACAGAGCTGGGCTTGAATCCCACCTCCACCATTTACTGTGTGACCTGGAGCCAGGCGCTCACGGGGCCCCACCTTGATTTTTCCATCTGCACACTAGGTCTAGTGACCAAGTCTACTTTAAAGAGTGGTTGTGGAGGTAGATCAGGCAGTGCACACATAGCAGTTAGCCAAGCACCTGACATTTAATCCTAGTTATTCCCAGCTTGATCCAGTTCAGCTATTCCTATCTTAGGTTCTTGTGCAAGGAAGGCGAGGCTGCAGGTAGGGAGCTGCGAGGAGCCCACCTTAGTCTTCTGGTGCCCGCATGACTCTTCAGAGCCCAAACAGTTCACCGTGAGCACCAGGATGTGAAGGGATTGCTGCCCAGCATGGTAGAGGCACAGCCCAGGGAATTCTCCAGGCCTAGGGTGGCTGGAACTACCAGCGCCCCAGCACAATCCCAAACTCTATGAGGAGAGATGGTGTTTCATTCATTGGTTCTGCCAACATTTCTCAGAAATGGTCTCACATCAAAGGGTGGAGCTGTGTGGGCCAAAGATAGAGCCTCCATTCTTGGCGGAAACATGAACAATCACCCCCCATTCATAGCTGAAGTTCCTCCCCAAGGAGATGTGACCCCTCTCACACACACGTACACAAACTGCTTCTCACAAAACCCAAGAACGGTGGTCAGGGCAGCTGTGGTGGGCACGGAAACACACACGTGGACCCAGGCGGAGAACTGCAGAGAAACATACCCACGCTCAGGGCCCACGAGACTGCTGGTCTCTTGGCCAGAGCTCGCCCATTTGGGGTGTTCATACTGGGGCCGATGGGGGCTGTGGGCTGGGCTGAGACCTCTGGGGTGCTCTTTGTGGCCAGGGGGCTGGCTTGCTGGTGCAGGGGTGCATTCCAGGCTGGAGTTCCTTGGCACAGGTTCGATGGTGGGAATGGGCTTCTCCAATTTGATGACCTGGAATAGACCGAGCCCCAGTGTCAGGGCTCCCTTTGTGCCTGGCCAGCCCTGCAGAGGAGGCCAGGCAGGCAGAAGAAAGCCATGAGCAGAGGTCTGGGGCTGGAGGGAACACAGCAGGTGGGCCTGGGCATCTGAACGAGGTTTGTGCACTGGGGCAGGGGACTTCCTAACCCCCTGCTCATGACTGCACGGGGCTGAGGTAGCATCCGGCCACAAATCCCTCGTCTTTTCCAGGCACACCCCCACGTAAGGCAAGCTGGAGGCAGCGGCTGCTTTCCTAAAGGCATCCCCAGGCCTGGCAGGGAGACCAGCTGTCTCCCTACCTTCTCTCAGGTGGGGGAACCTGTTACTTTCTTCCCGCATAAGATAACTTCATACAAGCATTTTTCAGGCCACAGGAAAACAAAGGTATGAAAACAGAAAGCACGAAAAGCAGGAGTGCAAAGGAGCACACCGTGTGATCTCAGGAGAGTAGAAGGTCAGGTGTCCTTTGAGGTCTAGTTACAAGTCCCCTCCACGTCTTCATGCTTTTTTAAGCAGGAAAAACTTTACTTATTTATTTTTTGCATGCTGCCCACTAACCCTTGACCTGGTGTTATCAGCAGTGCACTCTAACCAACTGAGCTAACCGGCCAGCCCCAGGAATGACTTATAACCAGGAAAGGGTGTTTGGCACCTTTGGAATGAGGATCAAGGACGTGGGCTCTGCCAGGAGGCTTTCTCCTGGCGGCTCTCCCTCCGATCTCACCAGGTGGCCCCCTGGGTCAGGTACTGACCACAGCTTCTTCCCAGACACATGGGTGGGAGGCAGAGCATGGCCTGGGGCTCCCTCCCATGTGGGACTTATACCTTCTGGTGCTCGGGGCCCTGGCTGTGGGCCATGTAGGCGTCAGCCCCAGTGAAGGACATAGCACACAGGTCGCAGTGCAACTGGGCCAGCATCCATGCAGCCCACCATCAGGCTGGATGCCTGTCTTCTGAGCCACCTTCTTCTTTCTGTGCTACTGTCCTTCCAGATGCTCCCGGTAGGTCTGCCAGGGAACAGCAGAGAGCCAGAGGTGGCCTGAGGGTGGTGTCTGCATTCTGGGCACTGCCCTGTCCCCTGCAGGCCACAGGCACTGCATGCGGGACCTTTTGGGAGGCAGGGCTTGCCATCCCCAGCCTCCACCTGCTGGTGCCCAGGGGCTCCCGTGTCACTTTATTAAGCCCATTCCATAGACACAGAAGCTGGAACTAGGGACGTAAGATTTCTTCTCTCTTCTAAAAATAAGCAAGATTCTTAAGAAAGCATCCTGAAAAGATCACATGTTCAGTTTTGGGGCTGCTGTAAAAGAAAATTCCAGTTTTTTAGAAGGTGACCTCAGAAACCAAGTGAGGACATGGGCTTCCCAAATCACCTGTTCTGGTAATTTCTTCCTTTCCAGAAAAATGCTAATGAAACCATGGGTGGCACACACAAGTCTCAAGCCCGTGTATCCAGGACTACTGCACCTAGAATAGCCGAGTGACTGCTGAGCCACTGCCAAGCCCTTATGCGGGATCCCAAAAATGCTTGTCACGTGGGCCCACTAAACTCATCTGCTTTAACTATGCCAGGAAGGAACACTCTGTAGAATCAAAACATCCCTGAGTATACACAAGAAACTTGTAACATTGGTTGATTCTAAGGAGGAAGAGTGGAAGGGAGTGGACAGGGAAAGATTTTACTGTATAATCTCTGGAATTTAGGAATCCAGAAACTTGTAAAGAGATCACCTAAGCAACAGGGTAAATATGCACACATACACAGAGATTAGGAAAAAGAGTCTATGGAATAGAGAAAAGTCTGGAAGGATACACACCAAGATGCTACCAGTCAATTATTTCAGGGTGGAGGGATTACGGGTGGGTCCCGTCTGCTCTTTGCTCTTGCTGTGGTAGTTAACACAAGGGCTTTGACAAACCTAGGTCTGATTTCTATTGTCATCACTAAGACCAACTCTTAGCCACAGACAGACCTCGACAATGCCCTTGTAAGGATTAAATAGTCCACCTAACATGCTCTGCAGAGTGTGAGAACAAACAGTTGCTGTTTTATCACTCCTGTTGTCAGGCTCCCAACACACACATGTATGATACGTGTAATGAGAAGCCAAGGGAGGGTTTTTAGAAAGAGGCACCTGGGGTGCACTTGGGGTACCCATGGCTGGGAGGGGTGGGTCTCACTGGATTATGCATCAGAAACCACACTCTCTGGGCCGACCTGGTGGCACACTGGAGAGTGCGCCGCTTGGGAGTGTGGCAGCGCTCCTGCCGAGGGTTCGGATCCCATGTGAAGACCGGTTCCCGCTCACTGGCTGAGTGCGGTGCGGGCGCAACACCGAGGGTTGCGATCCCGTTACCAGTCAGTAAAAAAGACAAAAAGGAAAAAAAAAAAAAAAGAAACCACACTCTCTACAACTTAGAAAATCTGCTTAGACGGACGGCTAGAGAGAACACAGAAGTGCTGCCATCCAGCCCTGGAGGCCATGTGGACACGAGCCCATTACACACAGCAGGTAGAGACCATGTTAGGCTGTCTAGATGCAGTGGCGTCTGAGCAGTGTTGGGGTAGGCGGCAGGTGGGAGGGGGCCGTGGATAGAAAACGGCAACACGAGGGTCCTCATGGTGCTGGAAAAGTTCAGTATCTTGGCAGTGGTAGAGAACTCGGCTAGGACAAAATACACACACATGCACACGAGTACAGAAGGTTCCTAACTTATGATGGTTCGACATACAGTGGGTTTATCAGGGTATTAAGTGTATTTTTGACTTATGAATTTTCAACTTAGTATGCATTTATTGCCACTTGGCATCTATACAAGTGAAACTGGGACACCTGAATCAGATGGGTGGACTGTGTCACTGCCAATGTCCTGGTAGTGAAACTGACCATAGTTCTGCAAGATGCTATTTATTAGCATTGGGGGAAACAGGGTGAAGGGTGGAGGGGCACTCCCTGCATCATTTCTTATTACTGCATGTAAACCTCAATCGCCTCAATAAAAATGTCCATATAGAGTGCTGAGAGTATTAGCTAAAGGCTGGGAATAATGATAGCTGACATTTCTACATGGCATTTGGGCATCATGACCACCTGGAGGCAAATCCTATGATCACCACTTTCCCATGAGGGGACTGGGACTTGGAGGGGCTGTGCCACTTGCTCAGGTCACCACTAGTAAGTGGTGGGCCAGGTGACACACCCAGGAGGCCAACTCCAGAGCCCACACTCAGAGCCCACGCCACCCTCAATGCGGGGTACCCAGCAGAACATCACGGGCTCACTCGATTCTGGGAAGAATCTGGGCTCATAGGAGGACATGCTCGTGTCTGGCACAAGGACCAAGATGGGCATTGAATTTTATATTCAGCAAGGCCCTCTCGATACAAAGTAAAAATCACGCGTAGAGATGAAGATGGGGACAGGCAAAGGCAATCTTTTCCTAATGAGCACGCACATTTTCAACGGAAGAAAGCACACCCAAAACATCCTGCCCAAGGACTGTGCAAAGGAGGCCGGCATCCCCCGCCTCACCCCCCTCCGGCAGGTGACAGACGTGAGCACCGCTGAGGGAAAGAGCCCTAGACTAGGAAAGGGTGGCCTGGGGTGGGGGTGGGGTCCCAGGCTGGCCCTGGCATGGCCGGCCCCATTTCCCCAGCTGTGTCACTGGGGCCTGATGAGGGGTTCTGGAGGCTTCTCGCCTCTCTAGAGCCTCTGATTATGGACTCTAAATTTCTCCAGTCTAGAGCGTCCTTTAGGATGTGTGTTTTGCAACAACAGACGTCTAGCGTTT